GACCTATAATATCTGAACTGTCCAGGAGAGGGCTGGACAGCGCAGAACACATGTTTTGGGGAAAATTCGGGACTGGGACTGTAATGGGGTCACCCTGCAAGCAGTAACCAAGGATGATGGAAGCCGGAGCGTGGCTGGGGTTTGCTAACAGGCTGCTGGGGTCAGAGTTGCTGAACCAGGACTATAGCTATACACAGACACACGGGAGGTGAGCTGCATGCTGAATGCCCACTTGGGAGCTACAACAAGGCAGGGGTTGCAGGGCAGGGGGTGACACAGCCCCTCACAGGTCTGGATTGCACCCTGGAATGTCACAAAAGTAACACTTTGTCTTTCTGCACCTTCCACATGAGGATCTCAAAGCCCCTTACTCAGTGATTTAAACCTCACAACACCACTGTTAGAATATCACAAGCCCCATTTCACAGATGGGAATACTGACGTACAAGGAGATTGCAGGTCTGGTTTCCAGAGATCATATTGCAGCTCATATTGACTTCAGCTGGAATCGTGGCTACTCTGCACATCTGAAAACCAAGCCCCAAGTAACTTGCCCAAGGTCACAAAGTGAGTGGGAATAGAACCCAGGTGTCCTGACTCCCAGTTTCAGAGCTTTAACCAATCAAAAATAGTTAATTAGATAGAGAACAAACCTCTTTTAAATGAAGGATGTAGTTAAGCCAAAAGATTAGGACCAGGAGAGCTGGGTTCAGTGCCCAACTCTGCCACAGAGTCTCTGTGTGACCTTGGGCAAATCACTGAATCTCTCTGTGCTTCAGGTCTCCATCTGTAAAATGGGAATAATAATCCTGTCTTTCTCTCATGCTTTGTCTGTCTTGTCTATTCAGACTGTAAGCTCTTGAAGGCTGAGAGTGCCTCTGTATGTGCAGCACCTAGCGCAATGGGCTGTTTATAACTAGAGCATTCTAGTAATTTAGTAGCGAGTCCAAAACAGCATTGAGGTCAAACTATATCTGTAACGTTTCACTGTTTCTGATCCTGGCTGGAGCCAGGAAATGCAGAGGCCTCCAAACAAATGAAAAATAATGTGGAGAGTTGTAGCTGATCTATTTTTCATCACAAAAACAAGGTTTGGTTGGTGAATTGGGAGAACACTGGAGATGGTTATTATATTGGGACTGGTTCCCCATCTCAAGTATCATTTATGCAGCATGGAATCGATGCCGCTTTCTATTCATGAGCAGTGTGGGCAGCTGCAGCTACTGTAAAATGGCTACTCAGGGGTCCAATACTGACAATTACTCACTAAAGGTTTTGTTTGCCTCTTGGTGAAACTGGTGGAAAACTACTGAAGTCAATGAAGGTATGCTTGGGTAAAACTGCCGGGAGGAGAGCTGAGCCTTTAGGGCCACCTGGTGTTCTCAGCTACGTGACTGAAACTCGGAGTAACTCAAGTGAAGTCAGTTGAATTACTTCAGATTTACACTAGGATATAAGTGAGAGCAGAATCTGACCTTGGGATCTTTCACGTGCTTCTTCAGGGTGTGTAATTCTTTCTGGTGCATCACTTTAGTCCTGCATAAGCCTTCAAAATAGGGCTTGAGTGATGCCTAGGCCTCTGCACAGGGATGAATTTCTCCCTTGGTGATTAACCCCCCCAAATACCCCATAAGTTAGAATGCCAACAGCTCTTTTGATTTACTAAGTGATATTTGAAGGATATATCTGCTCTTCAACATGGTGCCCGAGGAGTTACAATCACACGCAGCTCCTGTCAGCATTAGCCGCAGCTGAGCACTTGACCTGCACAGTTTAACTGAGATTTAATAGGACAGTTATTGTATGTTAAGCAACAGACATTACAAACATTTATTTCAGATTAACAACTATGTAACAGATATTGTTAGCACTGCAGTTGTCTGAGTGGCTGATTCAGAACCATGTGATTTAATGATCCATTGGGATTTGTTTACCATGCAATTGCTGTCATTTTAAATCTAAATTCTGCGGGGCCTGATTCTGGTGTAATTGACTGCCCAAGGAATAAGGCACTGGAGAATCAGGCCCGAAGTCTGGCATACTACACAGAAAAGGTTTGCCCTCGTGGCTGTAACGGTATAGTTATAGTGGCAACCCAGTCTCCTGTAGATGCTGCTTCTACCAGTGAAAAAGGGCTTTTTCCAGCATAGCTTACACAAGTTCCTCAAACAAAATAAACTGTACCGGGAAAGGATTTTTATGGTGGTTTAACTGCATCTCCGCTTTTTATGAAAAGAAGCAAAGAGGGTAAGACTCTCAATGCTTAGCACAGGGTAAACAGGGCGATGATTTTGCCAGTATAAAAATGTCATTAAAAAATATCTCACATATCCCAGCCAACATTATTATATTGCCAAAAGTTTCTAGTGCAGACTTGGCCTGTTTGGTTCAACTCCTGGGTCTTTACAGCCTGGGTGGGACCCTGCAGAGCACCAACAAGGAAGGAAGACAGGGAAGGAGAAACCATCTTCAAACCTCCAGGACATTATGGATTGAGATTTGGGCGAAGGTTTAGATTGGTTAATCCTTATTCCATAGAAGCTAGCCACTAATTCCTGTGCAAAATTGTCCATGGCTTGTCTGCCCTTAAGACTCTAGTTCAAAGTCCCATCCAGGCTCTATTATTAGAATCAAGGAAGCTTCACTCCCTGGAAACATTTTGAGATTGAACGGAGAGAAAAAAAATCCAGAGAAAGTGTCAGTCAAGTAGCAGGTCCACATAGTCCGACCCCCTCCCCTGAGACTTGGGGGATGGGAAGAACTTCATTAACCAACATTATTAACCCAGAGCTCATCTGGAGACTTTATGAATCATCACTGAATAATTCTAGCAGAGGCTTTTCGGGGTCAGTCGCTAGCAATCATTGCAAGTTTTGCCCAAAGCCAGGAACGTTGCCTTTGCCTTGGGTACAATACAAAGCCAAATAGGTCATTAATTACACGCCAGAATGCTGCCGAAGAGGAATGGTTCTTCTTATTAACATCCACCCTGAGCCTTCGGATACAACCACTTTCTATACGGAGCCTGAATTTTATGTCATGAGTATTTATTTATTTTATTTTATGAAGATTTAGTATTGGGGACAAGCTCTGCATGCATGGCCATGTAACCTGAAGGCTCCCACTTTACAAAGGAAATCAGGATCAATATGTGCATTTACAGACAGGGAAACTGAGGCACGGAGCAAATGAGAGCTAGAGAGATGGTTACATATGGCAACAGAGGGATGCGTATACCGATAGATAGAGCGGCTGCAGAAGTGGTATAGATGTAGCCTCACTCCTGATCTGGAGGGACTTCTTCAAAATTTGTGAAGGGAGTCCAGTCTCCAGAGCTCATTCGACTTCTTCCCAGACTCTGGTGTATATGTAGAACTACACAGAAAGGAGGTGACTGGGGGGAGGAGTCTGTTCTGTGTCAGGTGCAGGTGGCTGGGTGGCATTTGGGGAAGAGGATGCTGAGAGGCTGGAATCCCTCCTGAGACATAAGATTGTGGCATGCTCCTTGTGGAGTACCGTGGTTGTGCTACATGCCAGGTGGGTGTGGGCAGGGGAGAAGAGGTAGCCTGTTGGTAGCCTGAACTTTTCATTTCCTTGCTTGTAAGCTTTGTGTTGGGCCTTTTGGGATTGCTTTTCAAAAGAGCACAGTTCCCCATGAAGAACCTAAATAAGGGTCAGAGTTTCACAAAAGCCATCACCCAGTGTGCCAGGCTCTGCCAAAATCTAGTCATGTATTTTGGTGCCTAAGCATTTCTGCGATAACACAACTTGAAAACAGCAAACAGCCTATTCACCTTACTGCATAGTCAAACATCTTCCAGTGGAGACCTTGGCAGGTTTTAAAGGACTTCAGGTCCCCTTACTGGGCCTATCTCTGCTCACCGACTCATGTCAGGTCTTGGATCAAGTGGCAGTGCCCATCTCCCAGGCTAGGGCTGTCCTTTTTAATACTGTTTCAGGTCCTTTGTCTGTTAAGGCCTCTTGAGCCAGGTCAGACTGGTCTCTGCTATTTCCCCAGGAGCAAAACTTCAGAAGACTTGTTACCTGCATTGTTGCAGTATTGGGGATTTGTATTAAATACCCCCAGTGTCTTTAGTTTCTGCAGGTAACATCTTTTAGCTCACCCATTGAGTCAGAAATACAATCACTAGCTACCCCACAAAGAGACATACTGATAACATGAATACACTAGTCTTTGAATAATCCATGTTTCCAAAGCAAGCATGCATCTATCTATCTATCATGCACATCACTGTAATGTCTGGGTCCCAACAAAATTGTGAAAAGCAAGGGCAGACCCGGATCAACACAACTGTTCCAATATTTCACAAAGAGGATCAGTCTTTTAAGGTGTCCAGGGACCAGCCCACCATGGCCTCAGAGATCAGAACCAGGATTTTCAAGCAGATCTGGTTGGATGGGAAGCCAGTACAGCACGTGGCACGTTGGAGAGGCAGATGGATTAAAAAGACAGCTCACAAGTCTGTCCATCCCACAGCCACGCCCGCTGGTTATATCACACCAGGGCAACTTTCAATCTCTGGGCCAAATTCAGACCTGGTAGAGGTGAAATGGGAAGTCAACTGAGTTGCTGCTATTTACATCAAGTCTGAATTTGACCCATTTTCAGCCTTGTCTCGCTCTCCCTTTTTGCTCTCTTTGTCTACGTTGGCAAGCGAAAGGCAAAACTTTTGTCGTTCAGAGGTGTTAACAACCCCCCGCCCCCCAAAAAAACAAACATTTTGTCAATGACAAGCGCTGGTGTGAACAGCGCTTTGTTGGCAGAACCGCTCTCCTGCCGACAACACCAACACCGCTCTCTGGGGGGGAAGTTTTTTGTTGGCAGGAGAGCTCTCCCCTGCCGACAAACAGCAGGTACACTGCACACCTTTCAGCAGCACAGCTGTCGCGGCACAGCCCTGTGGCTAAAAGCAGAGTAGTGTAGACAGAGCCTTTCTCTCTCTTTCGCTTTCCCTCTGTTGACTGGACATCGAACTCACCGTCACAAACTCATCAATGATCAGATGGGCAGAGGAGAACGGACCCTCCCAGCGCCCTTGATAAGCATCCCCAGGGCAGCTTCTCCGCCTCACATCGTCCAAACCTAGCATCTCCCAGCCAGCCAGGCGGCCCTCTTGCAATCGAGTATGTGACAGACCCTTCTCACTGCAGTAAGGGAGCGGAGCGGAGAGGAGAGGAGGGAAAAGGCTGGAACTCAGCTGCAACCATTCATCTCCCAATGCCGGGCTATTAGACAGACGACAAAGGGAGAGAGGCAGCCAGACCTGGCACTGAGACCTGGCCTCCTTCCACTCCGTGATTTATCCCCTAGCTTCATCTGGCAAACTTGCTGATGAAAGGACGCTTCCCTTCTCTGCGCCTCATCGATTCCCATTCTCGTCGCATTTTTTTTTCTCCCTTTCAGAAAAAGGCTTCTACTTTCTTTACCTGTTATCTCTCTTGTTCTTACGCATTCTTTCTCTCCCAAGCTCTCGGCTCTTTTTCCTCATCCTCTCTCGTTCATATCCTTTTCTCTCTCCCTCTCATTATCTCTAGTCATTTCTCATTCTCTTTAATTCACTGTCTGTCTCTTTCATTCTCTCTTATTTCCTCTCTCATTATTTCTCTGCATCTTCTCCTCTCTCATTCTCTTGTTCTCATGTTCTCGGTTCCTCCTCATTCCGGCTATCGTTATCTCTGCTTCATTCTCTCCTGCTCCCCTCTGAGTGTATCTAGCTGTGGGCAGGAGCGGGGAGAAGACCTTGCATGATCCCCTAGACACCCCCCCCCCATGAAAATGGCGGTGGGGTAGGTCAAAGGGTAGGGCCAGATGGAAATCAGCCCACCGGTCCTCCATGCTACGGGTTGGACAATAGGCCAATAACCTAGCCTCATTTTTAAAAAGGTTAATTTAGAGAAACATAACAAGGGAACCAGTCTGTTCAGGGACAGCAGAGCCCCGTTTGTGCCCTGAGCAGTGTTTGGGGGTACAGGAAGCATTCAGAATCAGTCCTCTGGGCCTTGTCAGACCTTCGACGATTGCACATTTCAGTCCTCACACTGTGAGTTTATGAAACTATGCGAACGAGGACTGATGGTAATTACTTTATAGCAAGCTATTAGTTAGTGGATTATCTATCTCATGTCTGATATTTGTAAGGTGCCTATTGTTTTGATATCCATGTCACCCTCTAGTGGCAGCAGCTCGCCGCGGATATAGAGGAAGGCTGTGATTTTCAGAGGGTGCTCTGGCTGTAAGCTCTTTGGGGCAGGGACTCTCTTTTGTTCTGTGTTTGTACAGTGCCTAGCACAGAGGGGTCCTCACCCACACCTGGTGCTCCGTGGCACTATGGTAATGAATAGTAATTCAGTGGGTACTGCAGATGCTCAGATTAGACACTAATTCCTAATACTATTCCAGCTAGTGAATGTCTCCTTTAGTGCAAGAGACAGACTTGTGTTTTCATAACACGTGGTCCTGAGCTCCATCTTTTCTGAGGGCAATGAAAACTCATGTGGTCACAGTAAGGAGGGACGAATAACTGCTGTGAAATCCATGCAGCCATGGAATTGCTCCAGAGCTCTCTTGCCCAGTGATCTTCCCCCAGAGAAATGGTTTCTCTGCTTAACTCCCAGCCACATCAACTCAGTCTCATAAGCACAAATCCCAGCAGCTCACCGCCGTAATGCTCAAGGTCGAGGAAGTGTATTTACAATTTATTTGGCAAATAGAAATCCTGGAACTGGCTCCATGGTGTATTTAATTAGGTGGTTAATGGGAGGTATAAAGCAGACAGTGTCAGGGTGGGCTGTAGGGATTAGCATGGTTCTTTTTCTTTTCCTTTTCAGTGAAAACATCTACTCCCTGCTGCCTTCTAAAACATACATTAGCTGTTTCTTGCTATTCTTCTCTCTTTAAGCGCTTCCTTCCAGGTGGAATACTTGGGAGCTGGCAGGTTTTCCTTTTCCACTCCATCAGAACACCACATTGGGTCTCCCAACTTCCTCATGATGATGGCACAGTCCGCTCTGATGCCATCATTCCCCATGTATGGACTTGAGGTCCAGCAGGTCTTATGCATGCACCATTCGCCTGGCTGCAGCTGCCACAATCTGCCCTTTCCTTTGCCCTGCTGGGAGGATGCTGGCTTCCTGGCTGCGTGGAACACCCTCCTATCTCAGAGCCCTGTTGTTTTCACCATATGGAGTTGTGCAATTAAGATGAGATATATATTTATAGGTAGGATTGTTGTAGCTAAATCTCATCTTTAAGGCATGAGAACCAACAGAAGACACTACTTGAGCCTAGGAGCTAGGCGACACCTTTATGAAATGCAGAAGCGTGACTTCAGTGACCCATGCAGTTGGCGGGGCTGTGAGTTGGGTTGAGTAGTGGGGGGCACTAGGTGTTTTAGTTCTTGACAAGTCCCTGGCCCCTGGTGAGGAGAAGCCAGAAATGGCAGCAGGTGCTGCCAGTGAGGACTGAGGTGTCTTGACAGCGCAGTAGGGAGGGTAGGACTGGAAAAGCAAGGAAACAGGTTGCATGTCAGGGCTGAGTCACAGAGCCTGAGCTGTGTAGGGGAAACTTGTGTCTCCCCTACGTGTATTGCTCTCTGCTCCACACTTCTAGACTCGTCCCAAAATTTAGTTTTAAAAAATTAAGAAAAGACTTGTCTGTGTATGGAAAAAGGGGTGGGGGGGAATCATAGTATTTATCTGTCAATGTTTAGCCTATAGTCTCTCCAATCACCTTCCATTTGTATTGAAGGTGGGTTGGGCATGGCACCACATCTGTTTTCGCTAAAAGCCTTCAGTTACCTGGCCAACATCTCGCCATCACCATTCAAGGCAGTGAATCTGTCTGACAGTGGAGATGGGAGCTTGGGCAGGAGCAGTCACCCTTATAACCTCAGCCTCTTCCTTTTCCTGACCTCTCAATTTGTTACTGTCAAATTTGCAGGTCCTCCAGCTCGTAAGGGCTGTTCGTGCCCTAAGCTCTGTTTGGAGTGACACGAGGAGGCTCCCTTGACCTGTTCATTTCTCTTCTCTGTCACAAAGAGCTCTCATTTGGAAGAAGTGTGCATGCGTGTGTGTGAGACTTTTGCGGGAAAGACCCATAGGGATTAAAGTGCATGGATCACACAAAGATGATGCATCAGTTATCCAATGTCTAATAAAAGGAATATCTAAAGGGTTTGTCTACACTTGAAGCTGCACAGCTGTAGAGCTTCAGTATAGATGCTATCTAGGCGAACAGGAGGGGTTATCATATCGGCATAAGTAATCCACCTCCCCAGGAGGCGATAGCTAGGTTAAGAGAAGAATTCATCCTTCAACCTGGTGCTGCCTACACCGGAGGGTTAGGTCAGCTTAACTGCGTTGTTCCAGGGTGTGGATTTTTCATGCCTCTGAGCGACGTAGCTGGGTCACCCTAACTTTGTCATGTCGAGCAGGTCTTAGAAACATGAAAGGACCATCATGCCTAGTTAAGGACACTCTTGCCTATCCCATGCATGTTCCTTGCACTCTCTCAATGTGTGGAGAGTAAGGAGCTAAGACCAGGTTTACACTAATCAGTGAGATCAAAAATCCAACCCCTTGAGCGACACAGTTAAGCCAGCGTAACCCCCGGTGTAGACAGTGCTAAGTTGACTGAAGAATTCTTCTGTTGACCTAGCTATGGCCTATAGGGGAGATGGATTAATTACAACGGCAGGAGAACCCCTCCCACCGCTGGCGTGTCTACACTGAAGGGCTACAGCAGTGGTGTAATAAAAACAGCCATCCTCCGGGTATGCGAACAACTGTGGCCCAACAGACTAAAGGACTCATTAAACTACACATGGAGACCAACCAGTCCAGTGCATTGTCTGTAGCTCAACTGTTCTGCCTGGGCAAGAATCTTGTTCATTTTGTCACATGCAAATAATATCAAGGTAGCCACATGTTGCCATGTTGTAGATCTCTGTGGGCCGTGTTGGGCCTGAGGGGGTGCACCCAAAGCCCTCTGAAATCAATGAGAATCTTTCCACTGACTTCTGTGGGCATTTGTCTCAGATGCCCTGGTCGCCCTGGCTCTGTTATTTAGAAAGAAAGCTGCTGCTGGCTCCTGCAGCTTTACTTTGCACACCAGTTGCCTGGGCCACTGGCAGGTTCCATACAGGAAGGGAAAACGGCCGAGGAGCAAAATAAATGGAGTACAGAAATCCAGGAAATTAAAATCTCTGGCTCCAAACAGAGCAGGAAAGCAGCAGCAACAGAAGTAGCCCAGTTGCAGGGAAGGCACTGCCATCCAGTTTTAGCACCTCCCCTCAATATGCCTCCGAAAGAAAGGGGGGAACATTCATTTGAGTCCAAGATGCTCAGGGTTCTATTGGCTCTATGGGCCAGGGAGTGCTTTGCAGGACACCCCTGGGTACGTCTCAGAAGGAGGTACCGTGGGGGGGGCAGAGTGGGGAGGCCACTTTCTTTCATGCAGCTCTGGCGTTGCTAGTGATGCTTCTATGGGCTACAGGTGAGGACAGACCCCATTGCTCAGGCATGTCGGTGGTGATCTCCTGAAGCCATTGGCAACAGGAGGGCTGCATCTCAGCTGCTGTCAGCTGAAGGGAGCAAGGTCTGAAGCCGTAAATTGCCAAGTGCTGACTGACTCCTTGGCGTGGCAGGCCTCCGCAGTTCCAGCAGGTGTCACGTGGCTCAGACATTGAATTCCCAGTCACACAGCGAACGCTTGTCTTTCTTACAGACTCCAGCAAGCAGCCCTGTAGGGCCAGTCATTTGAACTGAAGATAACAATCATAAAAAAAAAAGCGTCTTAAAACCCACATTCTGAGCCCACAACTCCCTGAAAACAAGCAGTAACAGACCGCAGGCATCATGCAGTGAGCATGCGCACTTCGGGAAAGCTAAGAAGCAAGTGCCCTATCGGCTATCCCCTAGCCAGCGGGGGCGGCGGGGGAAGGGGGGGTCTGATCCAGCTCCCATTAGAGTCTTTCCATTGACTGGAATGGGAGCTAGATCAGAGCCTAATATCTTGCATTTCTATAGCTCCTTTCCTCCCAAAACACCTGACAGCTTTGCAGGCATCGTCTTTGCAAGCCACTGCAAATGCAGTCAGTTCTGGGAAGGAACCTCACAGCAGCTTAACAATGTATGCTGAGAGTTAAGGACAGGGAATAAAGAGGAATATTAT